CTTCCTTTTGCGCAACTGTTCTCCGCTTCCCCATCTCATTCTCCCTTCCGCCTTCGTCTTTGTTCTTCCTTCCCTATCATCTGCCATTGTTCCCTGGGCACGTACTGGGGAAAGTACCCTGACAGGCACTGAGTTCTTGGAGAGATATCTCACTTCTTCGTCTCTGCCCTTTGGGTAAAATACAGCGGGGGGGATTTACACAGTCCAGGCCTGCTCCGGACCCCGGCTTGTTGTGAGTTAGTTCTGACAGAAATGGCGTCATCGTCAGAGACTGGAAACTCCGTCCGGTCGCGACAATGGGGACCGGACGCCGCAGGCCGTGTGGGTGGTGGGTACGCGGTGATGGCGCGGCCCAGGGGCCCGAGTGTGCTGCGGGTGACTGACGCCCCGCACCGAGCTTTCTGCGGTGCCTCCGCCGCCCCCGGCAGTGCAGGTGGTGCTCACGGGGTGTCTTTGTTTCTCCTTCAGGTGCAGGTGAATCCGGTGTTTTTGAGAGAATTACGGCCCCCAAATCACCATGAAGGTAGGCTTGCCTACAGAAAAGGAGCCTCTAGGGTCATGGGATTCAGGAAGTAGGGGCCTTGGCCACTGTGGTTGTGGGGCCTCGGAGTTTGCAAAGGAAGGTGTGTGTAGTGGCTTGATGCCCAGTCCTTCCCCGGAAACGGGCCAGCTGGTGTGAATATCCAAGGCTTTGCTGTAGAGTTTTAAGAAATCTCATGGAAGGTGGTTTTCCCGTATAGCCTGACTGCTTTTGCAGGGGATGATAGGAGTGACTACGTGGATTAAAATGGTTTAGAAGATAAAACAAAACAAAACAAAAAGCAGGTCAAGCAACCTGATTCTCGAAACTGAACTGTATTGTGGAACTATCAGTTACACTGATGGAAGAAAACATCATTTTATTTTGTGAACGGTACTTGAGTTTTTAACAAAACCTTTTAGATAGAAAATAAATATTTGAAAGATTTTAAAAGATTTTGGTGAATTTTCACACACTTCAGAGATAGCAGTTTTTAGATTTTCAAGGATTTAGGGTTATGTGAGCTATTTTCTTTTATTAATCTACAAATTTTTATTTGCTCGGTTGTTTTGTGTTGTGTGGAACTCTCATGACCAGGTTCTTCTTAGAGAACATGTTAACTAAATGGAGGATAGTGCCTAGAAAGTACAGTTTGCTTAACTGGTGGGGAGAAATTATAGCAATAAAAGCACGGGTTTTTTTTCACTTTAGTGAATATGTAAATTAATGCGTCTTTAAAACATGCTTTTAGGATGAAAAGCCTTGGATATCTGTAATATCTGGATTTAACTGAGACTCTAGCAGTTTTTTATCCGTTACAAATTCAGCAGTGCTTGAAAAGGGTAGAGCACATTTACAATTATAGAAGTGGGACAGATAGTATGTTAGAATGCAAATGTCTGCTTTTGACAGTTCCTTTGAACTATTATTTTAAACAAAAATACATTTCTCTTCACAATGAAGACTACCTTTACAGTATTTTTGATTAAAATTCATAATGCTTGTTTTAGAGAAGAAAATAAAAGCCTATGGCTTTGTTTAAATATTTACTAAGTAATGTGGCCTGATGTTTTAAATTACTTTTTCTTTTTGAGTGTGGGGCACTTTAGATTGCCTGCAACAGTTTATCTGCTGAATTCCTATCTCATGTTCATGTGCTTGAAAGCATAGTGATATTTCGGAAATGAATCCCTTTTTTTAGTCATAAATGCTAGCTAGCTACAACTCCTTGTGACCTGTGTAAAGCAGTGAGAACTGTGTATATATTAGGAAAACTATATAATCTATCTTGGTGTTGGATGAGATTTAAGTAAAGTTTAATACATAACAAGTTTAGAAACTGAATAAACATTTAGAATAAATGTTGTAATCGGTCACAGTTCCTATTGTAATTCTTACATCTTAGGTGTCCTGTAAATGTTTTAAGATGTGTAAATGAAGGCATTTTGCAATCAGATCTTTTTCACTTTCTCAATGTTTGTATATTTGAAAATTAAAGTGTATTGGAAACTTTAGCCTTAAAAGTTTCATGATAATAGGCAAATGCAGAATTTAAAATAATCAGTTTAGAGCTCCTAAGTTTAAGTACTCAGCATTTCTATTCTTACTGCTTTTTGAAAAAGAAGATGCTTGCAATTACTGTTATCAGGAAAAACTAAAACTAATTTCCAAGTTCATAAAGAACTTTGTTAAAAGTGTAGTGTGTCTTTATAAAAAACTAATAGCTTAATTTAGTAGGCCTTTTTTGGTTTTTTGCTTTAACAAAAATTACAACTCAAAATGTATTTAGGGTTGATTTTATTGAGTTAAAATTTTGTGTGTATTTTCAATTTCTGTAGTATAATAATTCAGAGCTTACCCAATTTCTTCTTTGAAACAGAATTTTAAGTTTGAATTGGCTGTCCTGTCAGTGATAGTACTTTAAAATTTTTAAGTGACAGTGCATTGAGGTAATTGAGAGTATTTCATAATGCTTTTTTTTTTTTTATCCTGGTACTGGGAATTGAACTGAGGATTGTTGCCTGCAAGGCAGGCAGCAGCATCATTGAGCTAAGTTCCCGGCCCTTCATAATGCTTTTAAGCTTCTTGCCTTAAAACCCCCAAGTAAAGAAAAATGTATATGCCATTTTAAGTGTTAATGTTTTAACAGCAATTTCCTTGTAGTACTGTCTTCAAAAATTTATATGAATAAAGCCCCATCCTAGCTAGTGTACTCTATCTTGTATTTTTGTGGAGTATGTCTTTGAGAACTATAACTTGTAACCAACCAAAAAGGAACGTTTGCCTTAAAGTAATCATGATATTGGTGTTCTGTTGGATTTATTTTTCATACTTCTGATAGACTTTTCACATCAATAATAGCACATTTTCAGGAAGTGATAGATTAAGTTTATAAATAATTCTGGGCCAGGGATTTAGCTCAGTGGTTGCTGCCGTCTGTCTTGCAAGCACAAAGTCCCAAGTTTGATCTCCGGTACCAGAAACAAAACAAAACAAAACAAAAACCTGTATTGACATAAGTTTACATTGTAGTTAATTTTTTGAATGAAATCTGGGCACGGTGGCACACACCTGTAATCCCAGCACTGAGGCAGGAGGATCACTGTGAGTTTGAGGCCAGATTGGGCTACCTATTGAGTTAAAGGTTAGCTTGAACTACACAGTGAGAAACTGTCTCAAAACAAAACAAAATTTTCTAATGGAATGGGCTGGGTGGACTAGAATTAGAATTAGAATTGTTAGGGAATGAATGATTTAGATGATTGTACTTAGAATCTTTCATATATATTATCTCATTTGCTTATATGTGAAAATAATGGATTGATTCTAGATGTCCCCTTTTTCATGCCCTATAATTGTGTGCTCCCTCTTTTTCCTCTCACTTCCCTTCTCTTTCCTTCCTTTGCTTTCTTAATTCTGCCTCACCTTTCTTTCATAAATCATTCATTTAACAGCCTCTTATATGTAACAGGCAGTGTGGAATGAAGATGAATAAGCTCTTGACTTGCTGTCAAGGAGCTCACAATTAAGTAGAAGAAGATAGAGAAAATAAAAGTAAAACCGGCAGTATATTGTGTTATAAGAGTATTGCACTCAGTACTATGGGAGGAGCAAAGAGGATGTCTACATCAAAGAGCCACAGAAATTTTCTGGTGTTGACATCTGAGTGTTAATACTTCTGCTAGGAAAGAAAGGGAGAAAAGTGTTTTGGATAGGAGGGGAGCAGTGTATTGGACAATAAAGAACAAAGCAGGCTAAGTTTGCTGTGGCTGAGTTAACCTGAAGTAAGATATATTTGGGCCCGGAATGGAAAAGCAGCGACAGGAGATGAAGCAGAGAAAAAAAGCTGAATATTTTCTTTCCTTTGTAGTGCAAGGGGGTCTAACTCAGAGCCTAATGCATGCTAGCTGAGCATCCTACTACTGAACTGTACTTCCAGCCTGAAAATTTTGTTAAGAGCAATATGAAACTACTGAAGGGTTTTAAGAAGGGGCAGAAAAGGTGAATTTGCATTATAGAAATCACCTTGGTAGTATTGTAGTGAATATATCATAAAGACGATCTGAATGGAAGATCTGGAGGTACAAGAGGAGAGAAATAGGGGACCGACCTAATGTAGTGAGAATGGAGGGGGTAGATGAGGCATTCAGGAAGTGGAATT